CGGGTGTACATCGATAGTGTCGCTATCAGGCGGCATTTGAGATTAGTAATCGGGTGGTCTGTGTGTATTTTGTTGGTGGTGAGACGTGTTCAAATTACCCTACTTTTCCTGCCTTTAGCTCTACAGCGCGTAGAATGCACGTTTTAAAAGTAGTTATAATCGATTTCTTTGGATGGATTTGTATATATGTGACTGAAATTACATCTATTCTAGAAAACTCGAAGTTGGTGTGACAAACATGAGTAACTTAGCTTTACTTTTGCTCAAGCAAGGCAACATTGAAAAGGCTGGGAAACTGAGTCAAGAGGCACTGCATGCAATTGAGACCCGTCTAGGTCCGTCAAATATGGATACTCTGACGGTGATTGCTACACTCGCTGGAGTATCAAAAATGCGCGAAAACTATGAAAAGGCGGAGGAACTCTACCGTAGATCACTCACTGGATTCGAGCAACAGCTTCCACCGCATCACCCCCATATACTACGCACTATGATAAACTTAGCAAGTGTGCTGCGGAGACGAAAAAAAAATGAGGAGTCGGAAAACCTGTTTCGTAGGGCACTGGATGGCCTGGAAGAGCGGAATGAGGTCAATCATCGCGATGCGCTAATCTGCTTGACCAACTTGGCTATAGTTCTCGAAAATCAGGGAAAGCTGACCGAGGCGGAAAGCGCCAACAGAGAAGCGCTGCAGGGCTTTGAAAAAACAATGTGTGAGAATCATCCTGATACTCTACAGTGTCTCGAGAATCTTGCAGGTCTGTTGCAGGCACAGGACAAGTATGTGGATGCAGAAGTGGTGGGTCAGAAAGCTATGAATGGATGCAAGGCCGAATTCGGACCGAGACACTCAAAAACTCTCCGGAATATCGCAAATCTGGCCCATATACTACATCGCCAAACCCGACATCGCGAGGCCTGGGAGATGTATCAAACAGCATGCACTGGATTCAAACAGGCAGGTATAGACAACAAGGTCTCGCGGGTTTGTTTTCAACGGTTTGCGGAAATTCAGGAAGAGATGAAGCCTAGTGAGGCGTCTTTCATGTTGGAGAGAGAAACCACAACGCTAAAGGGGGCTGAAGACAACAACTCACGCCAGGAGATGGTATCTCAAGCGGAAGAGACTGCTGCATCATATTCTGGGTCTAAGCGTCGAAGACAGACATTAGAGAATGATGTTGCTGAAGATGGAGATACAGTCAAGAAGCGGCTTCAGTTGGTTACATAGTCTGGTACTTCAAACGAGAGGACCTGAACAGAACCGTACCTATCGGTGAATGTTTTTCTTTCTTGCATTCATATAACAGTATGTTAGGATCGGTTGGTCAAGCAACATTAAAGGCGTTATACTCACGTGCTAGACATCTGAGTCTAATAGTCTTTCAGTCAGCTCAGTCTAAAGTAGACGATAATCACTTACTGTGCACAGTTCAGTTGAGTGGAATTCTTTTTAGACTCATCAACACAGCATACCCGCAGAAATTATTTCACTTGGAGCACCAAAGAGAGCTTTTTTCGGCATAATAAGGAAGACACCAGATCCAGGCGGCTCTCGATTTCTTGGCAACAGATGACGAATTGGCAACGCTGTCACCGGTCACGTGACGTTTTGAATAAATAGCACCGCTCTTTTACATCATGTTGAGGGTATTAAAGAATCATAGAATTGATAATGAGTTCGTTTCAGATGATGTCCAAATACATGATTTCCGCCATCACAAGTAGTGGATGTGTCCCTCAGCTCCTTGGGACCTACTGCTGCGGCTGAACCGTTGCCGGACCAACCGTCGCTTGGGGAACATACGGACCTCCTTTGGGTGCTTTTTTTGAATGAGAATATGTACAAAGCAAAGATACGTATCCTAACAGCAAACCTTTTGGACTAGAACTAATCACGGAATACTCCCCTACGTCTCGTAATTAATACCAAGTCAAGCGTTACCATCTTGGCCGCCTGAAGACACTGTCATCAAATCCGACGCACACTATGGTTCGGCCGAACATTGTCATTGCATTAATTCTCATACTACTTGTCGTATGCTTTTCTGCGATCGCATTATGTATTAGCAAAGCACTTGCATCCCGAGCAGCGGTTTACGATGGATACGCCAGCAGCGAAGAGTCTGGACAGCATATACATTTTTCACGGCCCTCCAAACCTCATGCAGTCGTTGTTCATCATGGTGAAACGGACGTGTCTGCTGACAGCCGGGATGAGAGCTGACCTACGGGCCCATCTCTTGTATGGATTGTGGCTCGTCCAACTGATCGCGTCTCTGTATCAATATTACGACACAATCGAAAGTTTTGGACGGGAATAGCGAAACACCCTAGTCGAATGCATAAGAGAGTGATTAAAATAAAGCAATGAGAATTTCCAAATCCCGCCGGGATATAGCAGCCCACTCGCCCCCAATATGAAATAGAAATAGTATGTCGGCCACAATAACCACAATTATTTGACAAAAACTAACTTCTTAAGTTTCTATACAATGCGAAGGACTATCAGCGGTAGATCTATTGTCGAACACTAGCTGTCTCGACTAATAGGGAATTTAGGGGGTTATTCTGGTGGCATTGGAATATTCTGCAGTCCACTTAGATCTAATCTCCAACGATATGACGGTCATGACTGTGCACGCATCCTAAACTTCTCGGCCAGCGTCCTGCGCGTAAGTTGCACGTCTCAAGAGCAAATGCTCGTATACGTGTTAAAGCAATAATCCATTTTGCAGCAAAGCTGTGCTGGTAATTAGAAAATTATCATGTGCACTTATTCTATCCCACTCATTCCAGTCGATCGTCATCGTATGAACCTGGTAGATACTCCTTCGTCAAAAGCTACAATACAAAGAAAGATTTCCAAGACCTAGGAAGAAAGCACGTTGAAAAGTATTAGGTGAAAGAGACCCGATTGTAAAAGATCATCAGGATGTAAAGGAATTCACGAAAGGTCAGTACTACCTGCTGATTGGTCGTTCCTCCAAAGTTACCAGCGTAATACCGTGGTACGAATCCTTGGTGATTAGTTCATAAGCTCCACCATCCTCTTGTACAGTTATATTTACCGATGTGTCGTTTTCGGGGCTCTCAAAATTTGGAAAATATGGATCTATCTGGGTGGTGAGTCATCCTAAAACTATATCACAAGTAAACGTTAAGAGCTAGGACTAACCACCGAAACCCATCGTCTCACCTACGTTCACACTTAGTTACTGATTTTAGCTTAGCTGGCTTAGAAAGAAGAGATGTTCTTCCCTTGTATCACGCCAGCATATTCTCAAGAGTGCTTACCAAAGAGGAGTCCGTGCCCATCATGAAAGCAGATTGCTCCTGACTCGAACATATGTGTTCTCTTACAAACCATTCTGTTGCAGGATAACTCCAGTAGCATCTTGTTCTGACGTAAAGATTCGCTCATCGTTATTGAATTCCAAATCAGGCAGTGATGGCTCCACTTTCAATATATAGCGGATGGCTTCCTCAAGAGCCTCTTCGAGCGTCTCCATGTCGTTTTGTAAGACTGATCTGAAAATCTGACTCGATGCGAGCTTCTTCATGCCACCCAAGATGTCCTTCATAAGCTGTTCAACTGTCGAGACTTCCATGCCACGTAGCGCTTCATGGTAGACACTGCGGATTTGGGCCCATTCCTTCGCATCCTTGTCATTCTCACATTATTTCTTGACCTTGTCAAAGACTCTCAGCAGCTCCTGAGCCTGATTGTGACTAGACTGAAGGATTGCTATAACATCGTTTCTTTCATCTTCAATGATCTCTTGGTCATCATACAATGTGTCTTGAGCAATCCATAGGGTGCGGAGAACGAGAGGAAGGTGGTATTGAACCACGTCAAACGCTTCAGGTAGCCCTTCGATCGGCCTGATAGTCCTGTAAGTTGCGCTGACACCGCCGATAATGTCGATAATGGATTCTGTTATACTAAGAGGATTTATGATGATGACCTGAGGGTTCCCACATGAATACCATTTGTATTTGTAATTGAGGCAAAGATGAGGAAGGTAGAAGAAAGACTATAAAAGGAGCGTAGTAGTATATGTGAGGCATGCAAGTGGGTTTACCTCAGCTGAGATTGCCAAGCGGCGCTTGGGTACAGTAGAGGCTAGCGTTTGCACTTCAAGCCTTATGTACGCCACTTATGCCAGCTGCGTGGGTATCAGCTGGAGCTGCTGGCTCTTCGCTATATTTTTAGCTTGATGATAAGGCCAAGACCAATCATCGAAGGGATGGCAGGACCTAAGGCAATAGACATAAGGATGGATTGGTTCCATTATTACACTCGCTGTGGTCAACGCTTAGAAGTTCTTCTAGATGATATGCCGAACACGTAGAACTATACAAATCAGGCATAGTATGCTTAGTTAGATAGCGTTGGTGGTTTGGCCCAGAAGCATCGACGTTGGATATATTCAAAACAATACATATATATCGCTCTCTGCTCTACTCGGTTGAGCTGCGCAAAAAAAGCAAGAATGAATGAAAGCTCTCCAGCCGGAAATTAAACCCTCAACCACTTGTTCTTGTGCAGGGGAAGAATATTTCTTGTTGTTCGTAATACCACACCACGCTAAACAGGATCAAGGTAAGCAATTTCGCACTATAATGTGGTGGTCTTGGCAGGAGGTAGGCAAAAGCGATCGGACAACCCATATGGGGTACGTTACCAATCGCTCTGAGGAGCAGACGATATCTACAATTCTACACCACTGCAGAGCTGCGATCGGCTACCACTAATAAGTACTGACGACGCGCACCTCCTACTCCCGAGCTATTGAAGCATACGAGAGTTGTCTTTAGCACTTAACACTTTGATGAGGAAAAGCAATTAAAAGGTCATATCCTCAACATCTCATCAATCATGCTACGCACAAACACCTTAACAATCACACTGCCTTTGAAAACTAATAATATGGATTCAACATTTCGACACCGAGCCTAATATAATGATTATTTCCCCCTTTCATTTTTACTATATATTTATATTGCGTATTGCACCTCTGTAACATACATCATGCTCATTAAAACTAATTTTATTTCTCTTCGAAGGTCAAGCAACTATACAATATGAAGTTTTTCGCCATTGCCAGCACTCTTATGGTCTCTTTAGCCAATGCTGCTCCACACTCTAAGCTTGACTTCACAAAGGGCACTGAACTTATAGCTCGGCAATGCTCTGCAGTAAGGAATCTATACTTTATCCGTAACAAATGAAGATAAACTTACACTTTCCCATAGGGCAAGGCCACCTGTTTTTATGACACTGACTGCTGTTCTCAAATCTGTCAGGCTATACCTGTTGTAAGCTTTACTTTATAATACATTTATTATCTAATCTTGAAACAACTAACATGTATAATAGGGTCCCGTTGGCGTGAGTACAGCACATTGTAAGATATGTAATGTTAATCAAAACTTACATACGTTCTAGGTTGTACGCTACGTGAGTAAATAGACAGCTTAAATCATACAACGACTGGAGCCTAACTGTAGCAGTGCGCTGATGAAATGAAACAAGAGAAGGAGGAGCAGGAGAAGCAGGAGAAGCAGGAGAAGCAGGAGAAGCAGGAGAAGCAGGAGAAGCAGGATAATCAAGAGAAACTGGAGAAGCAGGAGAAGTTGGAGAAGCTGGAGAGGCTGGAGAAGCTGGAGAGGCTGGAGGAGAAGAAGAAGCACGAGAAGCAGGATGAGAAGAAGCAAGAGAAGTTAGAGAAGCAAGAGAAACTGGAGAAGCAGGAGAAGCAGGAAAAGCAGGAAAAGGAGAAGCAAGAAAAACTGGAGAAGTTGGAGAAGCTGGAGAAGCTGGAGAGAGAGAAGCAAGAGAAATTAGAGAAGCAAGAGAAACTAGAGAAGCAAGAAAAACTGGAGAAGTTAGAGAAGCAGGAGAAGGAAGAGAAACAGGAGGAGAAGAAGCAGGAGAAGCAGGAGAAGCTGGAGAAGCTGGAGAAGCAGGAGAAGCTGGAGAAGCTGGAGAAGCAGGAGAAGCAGGATGAGAAGAAGCAAGAGAAGTTAGAGAAGCAGGAAAAGCAGGAAAAGCAGGAAAAGTTAGAGAAGCAGGAAAAGTTAGAGAAGCAGGAGAAGTTAGAGAAGCAGGAGGAGAAGAAGCTAGAGAAGCTAGAGAAGCTAGAGAAGCTAGAGAAGCAGGAGAAGCAGGATGAGAAGAAGCAAGAGAAGCTAGAGAAGCAAGAGAAACTAGAGAAGCTAGAGAAGGAAGAGAAGCAAGAGGAGAAGAAGGAAGAGAAGCAAGAGGAGAAGAAGGAAGAGAAGCAGGAGAAGTTAGAGAAGCAGGAGAAGTTAGAGAAGCAGGAGAAGGAAGAGAAGCTGGAGAAGTTAGAGAAGCAGGAGAAGTTAGAGAAGCAGGAGAAGGAAGAGAAGCAGGAGAAGCACAGGAAACATAATTGAAAGTAAGTGTAGAGCTAGGGCTAGAGTTGAAAGCATTCCTGTGTCTAAAACTAATCCTCACTTAGAAGTTCATCAGGAAGGACATGATCTGTTAACATATTCTAAGACTTTCGGTATTCCCTTGTTATTAATACACTAGATTGTGTTTATCCTGGAGGATGTGCAGTTGTATGTAATAGAATAATGATATCAAAAATGTCAGCCTCCTTTCTAGTGATTCAACAGAACGTACTTCTAGGTGCAGGCCTACGGTGTATAAAAGTTGTGTCTGTCCAGAATCCTACAATATCCTACTGGCAAACTCCACCACTCCAAGGCATCGCCGACCGTCAATCTCCCCAACTGCCTTCCTCTGTTGATGTTGTTATCATTTGGCTCTGTCATGACGGGAACTAGCATCGCGCACCATTTCCTAAAGAACAGCCCCCAAGATTGGCCTCTCCGCATCGCCATGGTGGAAGCTCGACAAGCCTGTTCCGGTGCCACAGGCCGTAACGGTGGCCACATTCGCCCGTCTTCGTATGCAGAGTATGATCGAGCGAAGAGCTTCGTTTCAAAAGACGAAGCAGCAAGGATTACGCGTATGAGGGCCGCCCACATCAACGCGCTCATAGCGGCAGCGAATGAGCTAGATGATGAGGGGCGTGAGGCCTCAGAAGCGAGGGTCGTGGACAGCATAGAGGCAGTTAGGCAGTTGAATGTGCTTAAGAAGGAAGTGCCGGATCTTGGGATCGAGTTCACGGCTTTTGACCAGGAGGAAACGCAAAATGTAAGCTTATTTCCTAAGCCTAGTAACATATGCAGAGCTAATGATGTAGCTATCTCTCCGGTGGGAGGCCGCAGGCATGATCACGGGTAGCTCGAAGGTCGCAGGCGCCATTTGGCCATACCGATTCGTCACGCATAAATTCAAGTCGCTCGTCGATAAGTATCCATCATTCTTCCTCGACATAAATATGCCAGCTCTCAATGTCTACTCAACCAACGCTGGCAATGCAATGCTTGAGGTCACAACATCTCGCGGCAAGATCCAAGCTCGCCATGCGATTAACGCAGTCACTGCTTGGATTCCCCATCTAGTCCCAGGTTTATAAGAAAAGATCACCGGTGGACGATTGCACATGAGTGCCCAGCTTGGTGGTGCTGATATTCCTAAAGCAGGAGAATGACCATCGCTTACTGGAAATGGTAGTTTATCAACCGGCCGAGCTTGGTCTTTATATCGGGGTGGCTTGAGTTATATCGTACAAATGCCACAGAATGGAGAGTTCATGTTTGGAGGTGGGTGTGGAGGAGATGGCGCTGCGAACACTACCAATGTCGACACCGATGACAGTCTCCCTCCTAATCACGGTACGGCCGCGTATCTTAACGGCGCACTACCAGGCTACGTAGGGTATGACAATTGGGGGCCTGAGAGAAGCGACTTCCCCTCCGAAAACGGTTCTTTTATTTTTCCTGGGCGAACGAAGAGGGTCTGGACTGGCATGGAAGGAGCATCTTCCGACGGCAGGCCGCTCGTCGGTATGATTCCAACTAGTGTTACCCGCCGATCGGTTGGTGCTATTACAACAAGTGCGCAATGGATTTTGGCGGCTTATGATGGAGAGGGCATGTGTTTTGCATGGCTTTGTGGACAAGCGCTTGCGTCTATGCTGCTTGGTAGAGAGAAACGCAGCAACCAAACGCACCCATATTGGTTTCCTTTATCGTTCGAGCTTACTGAGGAGAGAATGAACAGCAGTAGTAGAGGTCGCTCAGCAGTAGGTAAAAGACATGTGAAAAGGATGGTCACGGCATTTGGAGGAAGAAACTAGGGTACGAAGGGATTTTGCCAGACCTCTATAAGTACCTGACTTTTGACTGGAGCACCTGTCCTCAAACTAGTCTGCACTTTCTATTTCCTGTTTACCTGATTGCCTTTTTAAAAGTTCTGGAGATGGTGGTGTTAGCTAAAAACCCCGTTCTCCAGCTTAGATATTTACTATCACTTGTTCTCGGCTAGATTGCTGAATTGGATACTTAGCACTTAGTGAAATATCAACATTAGATTTCAATTGAATTCTAAATCTTCCAATTACCTAATGAAGTAAGATATTCCATGTAGGAATAGTCCCAATTCCAAAACTAAACTCTTCCAGGGAAATTGCAGTCTATGCACAGGTCCATGTCTGGAAAATCGTTATGCTCTTCCCATCACTTTATATATCTAACTGCTAACGCATCACTAAGAACTAAGCATCTTTGTGTCTACAGCTGCAGCGTATATATTCTAGTCCGATATTCCTATACTGTGAGGGCGACTTCACGCAGTGCAGGTATTCAAACAAAGTAAGAAAAGAGCGATCTATTTGAGGTATAGAAATAGTAGATACTGAGCTAACTATGAGCGAGCTCTAGGAGATATACTCTAGAGATCGGCTGATAATAGCGGAAGAATTAGCTGGAATACAGCAAGCTTCACCACCAACTTCGAGTTTTCCAGAATAGGTGTAATTTTAACGAAATATATACAAATCCAACACACACACCAACTTTTAAGCAGAAATTTTTCATCGAAACTCGTCAATTTTCTATCGGACATAGGGGTAACACGTCGCGAGAAATCGATTTACGCCAACTCTAACGTGTG